CCCAAATAAATAATGACTAACATGTCCCAGGTTTGGCAAAAGACATAAACCTACAGATTCAAGAAATGGAGTGAAGCCCTAACATGAAGAAATCCACACCAAGCCGCATCACAGTTAAACTTTTGAAAACTAAAGACAAAAATTCTTCAGAACAGCAAGAAATGGCACCTTATCTGTAGGAAAAAAAGCTGTTCAAATGACACCAGATTTCTTATCAGAAACTGCGGTGGCTCAAAGGAAGTGGCACATCTTTCAAGTGCTGAATGAAAAGAACCATCAACTTAGAATCCAGTGAAAATAGCCTTTGAGAATGAGGGAGAAATCAAGATATTCTCAGATGAGGGAAAACTAGTAAAATTTCTTGCCAGAATGGCTAAAAGGAGTTCTCTAAACAGAAAGAAAATAATAAATATAGGAACTTTGGAACATCAGAAAGGAAAAAAAATGATCACTATGAGAAAAAATATGGGTAAATGCAATCGACTTTACTTCTCTTGAATTTTTAAAAATATGATTGTTGAAGCAGAAGCTGTAACACTGTTTGATGGTTCTAAATATATATAAAGGTAATATTTTCAGTAATTATAAAAAGGGGAGAGTTAAGGGAAATAAGTTTTCTGCACTTTATTTGAACTGGTAAAAACAATGATACCAGTAGACTGAAAAATTATGTATATATAGTACCTAGAACAACCATTTAAAAAGGTACACAAAGAGATATACTCAAAACCACAACAAATAAATCAAAATGGAATTCCAAAACAATGTTCAAGTAACCCACAGGAAGGCAGGGATAAGAAAAGAGAAAAATTAAAAACAGAACAAACAGAACACAAAACATGAAATGGCAGACTTAAACCCTAACATATTGATTCCATTAAGTATAAATGGTTTAAACACAAGGTAAAAGACAGACACTGGCAGAGTGGACTGAAAAACATTACCCAAATTTATGCTGTCCATAAGAAACTTACTTCGGCTTTAACAGTATAAGAAATTTGGAAGTAAAAATGATGGGAAAAGATATATAATGCAAACATTAACCAAAGTAAAAAAATGAGTGGCTATATTAATATTAGATAAAGTAAATTTTAGAGCAAAGAAAACTACCAGAGACAAGAGAAGGGCATATGGTAACCCCTACCAATTCATTTAATGAACCTTGCATTATCCTGATACCAAAATTGGAGACAATACAAAAACAGACAAAAGTAAGCCACCAGTTCCACTTCTGGACATTTCCCAGAGAAATGAAAGCTTGTGTTCACACATCAACTTGTATATGAATGCCTATAGCAGCTTTATTCCTAATGGTTCAAATCTGGACATAAACTAGATGCCTTTCAACAAACTGGTAATTCATACCAAGCAATACTACTTAGCAATAAAAAGGAAAGAACTATTGATACATGCAACAGCCTGAATGAATCTTTGAAGAATTATGCTGATTGAAAACAACTATCCCAAAATGTTGTATAAAGTATGGTTCCATTTATGTATGATTCTTGAAATGACAAAACTGTAGAAATGGATAACAGACAGTGGTTTCCAGGCATTAAGTAGAGGATGAAGTGCTATGAAGGGTAACATGAAGGAGATTTGTTGTGATGAAAATGATCTGTATCTTGACGATATTAATGTCTGTCTTCTGTTGCAATATTGTATTATAGCTTTGCAAGACGTTACCACTGAGGAAAATTGGGTTAGGATACATAGATCTCTCTTACAACTGTATGTAAATTTAGAGTAATCTCAAAAAAGTTTAAAAACAAACCAAAGATATACATGATGGAATACTATTTGTTCATAAAAAGAATGAGATCCTGTCATTTGCAGCAACATTTGGAGGTCATTATGTTAAGTGAAATAAGCCAGGTACAAAAATACAGATACTGCATGTTCTCACTTACCTGTGGGAGCTAAAAAAAAAAAGTTAGTCTCATGGAGGTAGAGGTTAGAATAGCATCATAACCTTGAGGAAGGTTACCACAGGCTGGAAATGGAGGGAGGGCAAGTGGGGCGGGGGGCGGGGGGTGAAGGAGATAGGTTAATGAGTACAAAAATAGAGTTAGGGAGAAGGAGTAAGTTCTAATGTTCTATATAAGAGTGGAGTGACTATAGTTATCAACAATGTATTTTATATTTCATAATAGCTAGAAGAGAGGACTTGACATGTTCCCATCACATAGAAATGATAAATACTCGAGGTGGTGACACCAAATACCCTGACTTGATTATTACAATCTGTGCATAAAAATACAAACATTGGCTGGACGCGGTGGCTTACGCCTGTAATCCCAGCACTTTGGGAGGCTGAGGCGGGTGGATCATGAGGTCAAGGGATCGAGACCATCCTGGTCAACGTGGTGAAACCCCGTCTCTATTAAAAATACAAAAAATTAGCTGGGCATGGTGGTGCGTGCCTGTAATCCCAGCTACTCAGGAGGCTGAGGCAGGAGAATGGCTTGAACCCAGGAGGCAGAGGTTGCGGTGAGCCGAGATCACACAATTGCACTCCAGCCTGGGTAACAAGAGCAAAACTCCATCTCAAAAAAAAAAAAAAGCCAAACATTATGTCTCAATAATAAATTATTTTAAAAACCAAAACAACTATGAAATAGTTTTTAAATTATAAAATCAACAAAGAAAAGGAAAGTATTAAGAAAACTAGAAATATAACCCCCCAAAATCTAAAAATCCAAGAAAATAAGTATTATGGTTAAAATTATGAACTTAAATAGATGGTGTGTTACTTTCCTACTGCTGCTATAAGAAGTTACCATAAATTTAGCGTCTTAAAACATACAACTGTATTATCTTAGGGTTCTGGAGGCCAGAATTCCAAAATGGGTCTCATTGGGCTAAAATCGGAGTGTTGGCAGGACTGCATTCCTTCTGGAGGGTCTAAGGGAGAATCTCTTTCCTTGTCTTTTGCAGCAGCAGACTCCACCTGTGTTCCCTGGCTCAGTCTCACTCCTCCATCTTCAAAGCCAGCCATGTTGGCCGAGTCCCTCCCAGGCAAGTCCTTCTCAGGCTGCCATCTCTCTGGTTCTCCCTGTTCTGCTTCCTTCTTCCACTTGTTAGTTCCCTTGTGATTACACTGGGCCCACCTCAATAACCCAGGATCATCCTTCCATTTCAGGTGAATAGCAATCTTCATTCCACCTGCAACTTTAGTGCCTCTTTGCCATATTCACAGATTCTAGGGTCAGGGTGTGGACATCATTGCAGGGAGAGTATTCCGCCTGCCATAGACAGGTCAAAAAACAGATTCAAACATCTCCAACATAATTACTGAGTCAAAAAACACAACTGAAGTGACTCAGAATGCAGCCAGAGAAACAATGTGGAAAATAGAATAAGAGATGAAGACATGGAAGATAAAGTTCAGAATCCTAGGGGAAAAGAAAAAAAAGTGTCTAATTTTTTGGCCATAGGCTCATATACAGATAGACTGGAGGAATTAGTATCTGTGAAAGGAAAATAAATCTTGGGTTCCCCAAATCACTAAGCTAAAGGAAAAAAGTCAAGCTGGGAACAGCTTAGGGCAAACCTGCCTGCCATTCTATTCAAAGTCACCCCTCTGCTCACTGAGATAAATGCATATCTGATTGCCTCCTTTGGAAGGGCTAATCAGAAATTCAAAAGGATGCAACTTTTGTCTGTCACCTACCTGACCTGGAAGATCTTCCTGCTTGAGTTGTCCCACCTTTCCAGACCAAACCAATGTTCATCTTACAGATATTGATTGATATCTCATGTCTCTCTAAAATGTATCAAACCAAACTATGCTCTGACCACCTTGGGACATGTCATCAGGCTGTGTCACCGGTGAGCATCCTCAACCTTGGCAAAATAAACTAACTTTCTCTCTCTCTCTCTCTCTCTCTCTCTTACTGGCTCTCCTCCTCCCTCCTTCCTTTTTCCCTTCCCTGCCCTCCCCTTGGCTCACTGCAACCTCCGCCTCCCAGGTTCAAGTGATTCTCCTGCCTCAGCCTCCCCGTAGCTGGGGATTACAGGCACCTGCCACAACACCTGGCTAATTTTTTTATTTTTAGGAGAGTTGGGGATTCACCATGTTGGCCAGGCTGATCTTGAACTCCTGACCTCGTGATCCACCCGCCTCGGCCTCCCAAAGGGCAAAATAAACTTTCTGAATTAACTGAGGCTGACTCAGATATTTGGAGTTCACATATCCTAGTCATCATTCTGGTGCTTAGAAGTTGGCACATTTGATCCCATCAACTAACGTTTGAGTTTCACTTTTGGTTTAAGAACATAGTTTCTGTTTATCAGAAGGCAGCCTTTGATGGGAATTTTTAATACAAGCATTAGTGGCTGTATGATTGAATTTACTTCTTCAGTGTGAATAAATGACAACTTTCTGCAACATCGATATGCCTCATGGAGACGTTCACCATTCAAAACGTTTTAAAACGATTTTATTGGGGACATTTATTAGCATGTTAAAAACTCCTTTACCAGTTATTATAGCATATGCATAGAACATAAATGTGCACTGCCAAGAACAAATTTAAGGATAGGAAGAAAAACTTAGATTTTTTTCTTAAGTATAAATTGAAATGTATGCAGTGTTATTAAAATTTGATTATTCTAAGCTGGATTTCATCAGGACAACGTGTCATGTTTTAACAAGAGTTTCCCTATCACGTCCAGGCGTTGGCTCTGGTTGCAGGTGCTGGGTTGGCACTTTTAGGGGTGCGGGCCTGGCACTTCGGCACCACGAATGCCAAATGTGTCACCCCTGAGCGAACTCGGGCCTGCCCACACGGCCCCGCGGCCGCTCACCCTCCCGCACCGGGCGCCCGTCTGCACGCAGCTTCTCCCGACCCCGCCTAGGTCTGGGATCTTAGGCACCAAATCGCCCTAGAGCCAGCGGCAGCACCACGGGACCCTGCCTTGACCGCCCCCGCCCGAGCAGCCTGCAGGCTCTAGGGCGCGCCGACAGAGGGCGCGGCTGGGGCTGTCGTCGCGGCCAGTTCCCGTTCCGGGACCGCAGGCAGCCCTGCCCCTCCGTCGCGCGACTGCGGGCGCAGAGCCTTCCTGGGCCACCGCGCTCACCAGGCTCCTGTCTTTCTCTCAGCGGCTGCGAAGTCTCCAACCTGGCGGCCAAGTAAGTCCCAGAAACTGAGGATTCGCGCGGGGCAGACGCTTCTGGGGTCCTGGGCGCTGCGAGCGAGAGGGCGAGGGGAGGCGGGATCTGCGTGCGGGCGGAAAGCTGCGCGGCTCTGGGGGAGCTCTTGGTGGAACCAAGCGGAGAAACCCGCGAGTTTGAAGAGTGTAGCGAAAGTCGAGAGGGGTGAACTTCACCGTCAGCAGAATCGTATCCTCCACTGTGGTCTAAGGCAGGGGTTCTCAATCGTGCCATTACCTTAGAACCACCTGCGGAGCTTTTAAAATCCAGATGTCCAGGCTGCACCCTAGATCGGTTCCATCTCAATCTCACGGAGTCAGACCCAGGCCTCCTTATCTTTTAAAAGCTCCCCAAGTGATTCCAATCTGCAGCCAGCGTTGGATGAAGATTGGAATCACCAGTGACCGAAGGTTGGCAGGGCAGACGGGCCTTCATGGAGTCCTGCCTGCAGACGACACAGCAGCTCCCAGTGTCCTGCTTGGTCCAGGGCGCAGGGCGAGAACTTCCCTTGCGTTTCATGGTCCACAAAGTCGGGAAATGAGACAATGCTTGGCAAGGTCACCTGAATATCACATTCAAAAAAGCCTCCAATGTGCGCAGCGGTTTTGGCACATTGTGAAAAACATAGGAAATGACAGATGATGATGTTCCATTGGCTCTGCATTCTGGGAAAGGCTGCAGTTGTTGGTGTTTGAAATTAAGTCTGGGGAAGCTAGTAAACCTATGGCCTTGATGACTTCTGGCCTTTCTACTTTAAGGGTGAAGCCATAAGCCGTGCTTGCCAAAGGGCGGGGTTTGTTCTCCCTCAAAGCCCCTGTTGAAGAATAAACTATCACCTTCTGGGAAAAGTAAAAGAGTAACTCCGGGGCCGGGCGCGGTGGCTCAAGCGTGTAATCCCAGCACTTTGGGAGGCCGAGTCGGGTGGATCACGAGGTCGAGAGATTGAGACCAACCTGGTCAACACAAAAAAAATTAGCTGGGCATAGTGGCCTGTGCCTGTAATCCCAGCTACTCAGGAGGCTGAGGCAGGAGAATTGCCTGAACCCAGGAGGAGGAGGTTACGGTGAGCCGAGATCGCGCCATTGCACTCCAGCCTGGGTAACGAGAGTGAAACTCCGTCTCAGAAAAAAAAAAAAAAGAGTAACTCCACGATGCAACTTAGAAAGAAGTAGATTCCCTGTTCTCACCCAGACGTAGATGCCAGGGGCCAGGTAGCTGAAATCCAAGCAAGCCAGGCATTGACAAAGTACAGACTTCTACCGGATATGCCGGACAAATAAGCAAGCTGTGCTGAAAACACACAGCATGAGTGGTAAAAGGGTGGTCTTTCAAAGACTGCAAGAGTAGGTTTTGTTTCTGGGGAATGGAGAAGTAAGTTCACGCTTCGGAACCCATCAAGTCTGGGTCTATGCTGTGACTTTGGGCAAGTTCCTTGACGTCTCTAAGCCCGTTTTCCCACCTGTAAAATGGAGATAAAGAGCAACTCTCTCCCGAGGCTAGCATAGTCCAGTGAGATGATGTGCATCACACACCTGGTAGGCGGTGCTCTGGCAGGGGTCGTTACTAGATACTGGAGTGGCAGTTTTTGCCCACCAATTGTTTACTTAGTACAGGCATTATGAAGGAGAATGTTTGTCTATAAAATGTCCCCTTCAATGCTCCATTCCTTCCCCTGCCCTGCTGCCCTGCTCAGGGCCTTGGCATGCTTTAAGTCTGGGATCTTAGGCACCAAATCCCCTCACTGCCCCAGGGTGTATTAATGGCATTGGAATACAGTTTTACAGCATGTGATAGGAATGAATATTTTTACACACACACACACACACACACACACAAAAAGCTGTTCTTAATCTTGAAACTTCTTCCCTTCTGTTGCCACATATATGTTTTTAAATGGCTTTCCAAGAAAGCTGGGCTGTGGACAGGTATGTGCACACACACGTGTTGCTCCCTGCTTGCAACATCCTCAGCCCACACCCTTGGTGTTTCTGTTTTGCTCCCAACTCTTGGCCTCGGGACAGTGAATCTTTCTACAGTGACCAAGGACAGTCAGGGATCTGTGGAAGGGAGACCCCAAATTCTACAATTGCTGATGCCTGTATCTTAGCTGGAGCTTTACCCTGGTACATCTGTTACATGCTCTGTACATCATGGTGGTTACTTTGATCCTAATAACAGTGCTATTTAGATTAGACATCAGAAATTGGAAGAGTGGAGTAATGTAGGCATAAAGATCAAGTGTTTTTCTAGTGTATGTGTGAGCACTGATATTTGCTTACACAAGACTATCAAAGTCATCTCTTATCCAAATAAAAGGATTCAATATTTGTTCAAAATCTAAGATATGAATGTAGGATTTAAGGTTTAAGTTACTAGTTTCTTCTATCATTCTTATTATTGGGGGAATTTTTTTAGGCAAGAAGAAATTAGAAAAGCTAAAATGTGTACTTAGGCTGAATTTTTGTCCTGCAGAAGCTGTAGGTATTTTGCCAGTTTTCAGAAGTCCTGTTTTATCTCCTGGGGACAGTCAGTTGCATGTCACACAATGGGCTTCCTTTGATCTACCTAAAAGATCTGAACTTATTTCTTGCAAAACTCTTTAGTGTGTCAAATACTCGTTGAAGGCAAGTGTTGTTTCTCAACTTGATTCCTGTGGTGACAGGTGAGTAGTCACTGGTAGGTCAGTTCGTTGATGCTTTTTACCCATACTGGAAAGTTTGTCCAAGTCATATATTGCTAAGACTTCCTGGCTTGAATTCTTATTTAAACATGTGTTTTATCTGGAACTGCCACAGACAAAACTGGGCAGAGATTCCTGTGCAGAGTTGGCCAAGGCAGACATGCCACCACTCCTTCCCTTTGCCATTCTCCCTGTCTCTGGAGCCATTGAGCCAACCGGAGATGGTGCCACTCTGAAGGGATCTTATCTTGGTCCTCTAATGGGGCAGAGTTCTCTGATGAGGGATGCCCATCCTTAGACCCAACAAAGCAATTTTGTATCATACTACATTGAAATTAAAAGTTACTCTCTAATAAACTGCCATGTTAGAATTTGTTTTACTGAAGGGTCCTTTTCATCCAAATTATAGAGCACTGTCGTTTAAAGAAAAAACAGGTCAACGGAAGGGCCCAGATAATTGCAAAGTGAGCACCAGATTAGTGCCAGGTTTTGGCAGATTAAGATTTTAATAAAACATGAATATTCACCATGATTATATTTGTTTCAGAAAGTTGATGTCCCTTGGCCTTCTGTTCTGTCATTGCCACCATACAGGTTAGGGTCAGAATTGGGAGGATGGAGTCACTTGGTGAATATTTTCAGAGCCACATGCAACTGTGCCTGGCTTAGCAATATGATAGCAGAGCTGAGAGAAGATGATTTACTTGGGAGAGTATTTCTGTTCTAATTCCCAAAAAATTAAAGGTCTAATGAGTAAGAACTTCCCATGCTTCTTGTAACACAGGCCCAGGTTACCGCCTATGACCTCAAAACCAACCTTCTTGGAAGGAACTGGGGGAAAGCTAGGCTTTTTTGGCAGGGGCTATCCTAACTGCTTACAACAACAAAGGCCCCTTCAATGAGTGGGCCATTCCCGGACTCCATTTAACAAAGCTAGTATTTTATACTTAATTGAAAACAGGCATGCTGATGATTTCAAGTGGAGATGTGAGACCTATAACATTCACCAGACATGCAGGACTGAAATGGAAGAAATAATGGGTTTTGGGATCAGAACCAGGATCAAGTTCCTATTTTATTCCTTAACTAAGGGGTCCCCAATCCCTAGGCCTTGGATGGGTACCAGTCAGTGGCCTGTTGAGAACGGGGCCACACAGCAGGAGGTGAGCGGTGGCAAGCAAGCATTACCACCGGAACTCTGCCTCCTGTCAAGTCAGCGGTAGCATTAGATTTTCATGGGCACGGGGGAGGAACCCTATTGTGAACTGCGAGGTTGCGCATTCCTTATGACAATCTAGTGCCTGATGATCTGAGGTGGAGCAGTTTCATCCTGAAACCATCTCATCCTTGCCCCCACTCCCCTGTGAAAAAATTGTCCATGGAAAAATTGTCTTCCATCAAACCAGTCCCTCATGTCAAAAAGGTTGGGGATCACTGCCTTAACTTACTGTATGACCTTACCCAAGATCCTTGGCCACTCCAACTCTGTGTCCTCCTGTGTAAAATAGATACAATAATGCTTTCCTTGCTAGGTAGTTTTCAGTATCTGATGAGCTAATCTCTGTAAAGTGCTTAGCACATCACCATCCTCTAGTAAGTCACAATGATGATGATAAAGAGGATGATGATGAAGCTTCCAGGGCTGGTCTTCCCATCTCCTAGTTGTGTGACTTCACAGAAGGATTTTTTAAAAATACATATTTTTAATAGAGACGGGGTTTCACCATGTTGGCCAGGCTGGTCTCAAACTCCTGATCTCATGATCCACCCGGCTTGGCCTCCCAAAGTGCTGGGCATGAGCCACCATGCCCTGCCTCAGATAAGGTTTTCAATCCTCATGAGCCTCGGCTTTTGACTCTGTAAAATGCGCTAACTCTGCCCATCTGGAAAGATTGCTTTGAGGCTTGATTTAAGTAAAATGATAACAGGTCTGATCTGGTAGACACTACATAAGAATAGCATTTCTGTAGACTACCTGTGTCCCACACTAGTCTAAGAGTTTAGGGTTTTTGTTGCTTGTTTTTAGCTCATTTTATCTTCCCAACGACCCTATGCAGTGGTTATCATTTCCCCTGTTTTACAGAGGAGAAAACCGAGGCTCATCAAGGTGAAATAACTAGGCTAACGTCCATCCCAGGACTTGAAGCAGAGCTCCTGTTCTTGACCACGGGCTCAGCTGCTCAGTGATACCCTGTCCCTGCTTACTCTGCCTACCTCCTGAAGCCCACCTCCTGCCACTAACAGACAGTGCTGTTTATGCTCTGTGTAGAGCCATGTTTCTGGAAACAGAGCCCCTGCT